CACCACCGCCACCACTGCCACCACCGCCACCACCGCCACCGCCAGCAGGAGCAGGAGCACAGATCAAAAACTCCCTTGCCAATCCTCCGCTAGCGTTGCTGACGCTCCTCCTGCAACTTCTGAGTCGCAGAAAACCTTCAGCGCAGGAGGGCATAGCTTTCTTCATTTCAGATGTTCATCAACCGTATAGTTCCGATTTGCAGTCTCTATTATACATCGGTGGCATTGGCCTGATGCTGTCAAGTAAACGGTTTTCGACTGAAAACGTCACAACATATGTTCCAACTTTGAATTTCTGATTTTGGCCGAATGGATGATGCGACGGGGCGAGGCTGTTCGGAAGCAGTGACGCAATTGGCAAATTCTCACTTGTTGCCAGCACGCTGCGCATGGCTAGCTGCGACAGAAGCAGCTCGTTAACACTGGAGCAATGGCGATAACCTGAAGTGCTGGAGCAAGCCTGGATAAAATGCATCCCCTAGGCATCCTCAGACTTTTGCGTCGTGTTTATCATGTTGAGTTTTAAAACAAGTTCCTGCCTCGCCTGTTGGCAGGCATGCCACACGAGGTCATGGTAAACTTTTTAGGATCAGCGACCGCCTTGAACGGAAGAACCAAAAGCTAGCGCACGACAGATCAGCTAGAGGATTCGGCCCCCGGTCCCCTCGTCGAGTTTGTTTCGGCAGTCGGACACGCAGCTGCACCTGGGTGAAGCTGCCACTTTTCCAATTCGATCTCAGCTTCTGGCACGAGACTCATAACCTTGAACAGGTCGGACATTGCGGTGGAAACCTCCTCCGGCCAGGGGAAAGTGGCAGCCTCAAGCCAGCACGTGCATCATTACCAGACAAGGCAAAAACAACAAAGCAAACTTGCAGCATGTTCCACTACAAGGGCTGGCTGTGGCTAGCGGGCGGATATGTTGCAAGGCCAGCCTGGCCACCACCAACTTCACAGTTGGTTGAATTTGACGCGGCGCAGGCCGCAAGTTCAGCCATCTCTGCTTCTTGCTGGGACCACTCAAAGCCAGGTAATCTTTCCAGGTTGAACTGTGTCAGGACAGAGCCTCGAAGCCACATAGAAAGGCACACCGCATCATCGGCCATGGCATCCGCTACTTCACCAAGGCAGCCAAGAAACAAGCGGCCATCCACTGCGTGCCAAGGCCTCAACACGCGGCTTACCCAGGCCAACAGCAGCCAAGCATGAAAGGCTGCGTCTTGCTTTACAGAGTTCGTCAAAACTGATTACACGCAATTGAAAACGGCTTCCTTGCCTTGCTGCATAGAACCCTGCAGCACACCGAACCCCAAGATCACTGGCGCATTATGTGATGTGCCCAAATCACGATAAAATGGCCTGATGGATACAGTAATGGCAGCCCAGGCACGGATCATGCTTGTGTGAAGCTTGGCACTGCCCTTTACAGCAGAGGTTGCAGCCATCGCCGCCACGACGAAATTCAAGAAGACTTTTTGACCAATGTCAGTGAGGATGGCAAACTCAGCTCACATGGGTATCCATGTCATACACACTACGGGCTCTGAAGGAAGCGGCAGTGCAAGAGCCTAAGCCTCTAAGGCCTGTCCTTTTTGCCACTTGGCGAGGCACGGACAGTGTGCCGGAAGAGTCGGGTGGGCATTCCCGGCAGAGCTCTGGATAATCCTAGCTTCACTTGAGCTGTAGTCAAAAACTCCTAGCATCCCTCTCAGTAACCCTATAATACTCCCCTATATAATCCCCTATGTAACCCCCATGAAGGAGTTTACACCCATTGTCAGGTTGGGCAATATTTACTGTTTCACCACTACCTTCACATGCGGTACTAGCATTCTCAATGCGAGGACGGTTCATTCCCAGCTGAACTTTTGTTGTTGCTATTGTTACCACTAGCGCGCTACCATTCATGATGGCTTCTATTGATACAATGATACAACTAATGCAGGGCCCTCATCGCAACTGCAACAATTTGAAAAAAAGAAAGACATGCTTTCATCTCCAGAATCATCTCTGGCCCATCTCTCTGGACATTCGCCGCACTTCACGCCAGTAGAGCCTGCGATGTATGTTTCAGCTGGGGCCAACAAAAGCTGGCTTTGACTCATAGAAGCACTGGCGGTAGCAGCTGTCATTCAATGCGTCATTATTAAACAGCTGCAGAAGTAGCAACAAATGTGGAGAGAACCACCAACATCATCACTTTTGATTTCCCATTCACAGAAAGTATGGGAGTGTCACTGAACCATGATGCAGCGACATAGAAGCAGCTTCGGATGCCACTCCGCCGCAAGCTATGGTCTGAAACATGGCACTGCTAGCCTAGCCGTCGCCGGCAAGTGCTGAACTCCCACGGGGACCCTCTATCCACCATTCTCTTCAAAAGTTTCATCAGGACCCAGGAAGCCACCGAATCCCCCCAAAAATCCTAAGGGGTGCGCACAGCGGCCACCAAAGAATTTCCGCAACCACGCTAAGATGTAAGAGGGCCTCCCCTCTGCTGCAGAGCAAAAGTGCTGCAACCCTGCACACACTTTGCTCCTTATCTTGGTTTCCATTCAATTCCACCCAACTCCTCCCCTGGCTGTCAATCATTCGACCGGCAGACTGGCCCCGCTAGCATCCGGTAGCTTCATGACAGCTGCTAAACCTGAAGCATCTGTACTAAGCACCCTGCCGTTTGCGCATTCGTTTCCTCAGAGCACTAATGGGATGGCTCAGCAAGTAGACTTAGCGCAACGGAGGAGAATGACAATGTCCGAAGCCGGCACTAGATGATACTCTCTTCCTGCACAAAGGTTTAGGCAGTAACAGTCGAGGCTCCCAGGAGGCCGTTGCAAAAAGCCGGGGTTGGCAGGTCCAGGCGCTGAGCCACACAATTAGTTCCTCCCCGGCATGCACTGGAGCCATCGGGCAGCAGGACGTCACATTCCGCCGCAATGGAGATACCCGCTTGGAAGAAGCCAGGCCTGAAGCAGTTTTTGAACCCTCCTCCTTCCTTGCACATTGCAAACAAACTCTTCGAAGCATGTGAGTCAAACACGGCCAGGAGGCAATGCCACCGGCTGCGCATGGCGGCGCTTGGTGCCGTTCGTAGCATTTTCAAATCCACCACGGCAGTCAACACCCTGATAGCTGCAGCCAGCGCAGCGCGCAAGGCTTCCCTCGTCGTTGGGGTTGTCGAGGATAGCATGGAAGCGTGGAATGCAGAAACAATCTGCCAGAGATGTTGCAGCCGGATCACTGTTTGAGTTGGCTGGACACTCCAATGCGCAAGTCGCATCATTACCCACAGTCGGCTTGTAAGTCCCGGGGTCACATGGCTGGCAACTGGAGGCCCCCTTCTTGTAGCCCGGCAAACAGATGCAGTCTGCCGCGCTTCTTCCGCCCCAAGCCACTGTTGTGGAGTTTTGCGGGCAGGGAATCGCTTCTCCAGTACCGGGGCAATACAGGCCAATCTCACAAGATGAACAGCCCGAGCCATCAGCGTAAAGTCCAGCCTGGAAACACCCTTTCGTACGTTGTACTCCCCAACTTGCATCAAAATCAAAGAAGTGCTAAGATGAGGTCATGTTGCTTGACACTTGCATTGTGACGGCGATGTTGCACCAACTTCCAGGGTAGATTTCTGCGATGGACAGCGCGTGCACGCGTCCATAGAAATTGCATCCTGAGGATCACTGTCGGCTGTGCAACAGAAAAGCAAAGCTTTGTCCTGGTGGCAATGTATGTCACTGAGATGCCACGCGTCTGAAGCAACATAGCAACGGCCTGAAACGATGTTAACTCTGACCTGAAAACTTGCATGATCATGCTCTTCGTTTCATTGCGCCCTTTGCATTGCCAGATTGTTCCACTCGAGCAACAGTTCTTCACACTACCTATTCAAAAGGCTACCAACTATCACGAAAACGGGGCGTCCTTGTACTCGCCCTTGACACAAGGCTCGCAGCCCTGCGTTGCTGTGTCGAAAGTGTAGCCAGGACTGCATTGACAATCAGCAGCACTGAGGACGGGCACACCTTGCTTGCGACTGGGGACTGGCTTGAAATTAGGGACTTCCATCCGAGTTACAAGGCAGATTGGACAGGACTAAGATAGAAAAGGGTTCCTTTCCTTTGCACAGGCATGACTCTTTCAAGCCCCCCTTTACTGCCGTGGTGCCAGGAGGAACCGACATCCGTGGTGCGCATTGCACCGTCGTGGAGGACACCGACGGCTGCGACTCAACCGCCAGTTCGATCCCCGCACTGCTGAGGGTCCTTAATGCAAACAAGCTGTGCTGCTTCGGCAACAACTCTGCAAGCATAAAAAAATAGTAACAAAAAATAATGTAATAGTAATACAAGTAGTAATAGTAGAAATAACCCGAATATACCTGTTTTATCCTTTTTTTGTTGCCCCCATATCTATCTTGAATGATGGCACGATGATTAACACGAGCTTGGCTCGGCTTGATGCCCTGGAGGGCTTCGAACTGCGTACCGCCTATCCAAAGCGAAATCCCATGCAGAATCGTGTAAAGGTCAGCACCTTCAAAGAGGCAACAAGCGTCGGATTCTGCTGAATGGCAGCAGTCACTTCGTTGGTGACCGTAGTGGCCTGAGTAGCCAGGCAGCCACCAAAGCCAAAAAGGCATCAGCACCAGCTTTGCTGTGAAACTGTGCAGGGAGCTCATGAAATTAGCTGCGAACACATGACATCTCAACACATGACATCTCTCGTGCACAAGGACCTACAAGAAAAGCTGATTCATGCTGATTCCACACAACATGCGCGAGAACCCAGTTGCCACACTGTCCCCAATTTCGGCCCTATTGCTAAGGTGGAAGTGAAGAGGATCACCTAAAAAGAGCTAGGTTAGGTCGGGCAGCATCCAGGTCTGCAGCGACTGTTGCAGCCTCATCCGGCGTTCGCTGCTTAATGGTGATGACGATCATTGATGCATCAAAAAGCCGTCGAAGGCGTCTGCCTCCCAAACCCAGGCCAACGAAATCCTTAGATCTTCGAAGGGAGCAAAATGTCTAAACTACCTGTCACTCGCCTCAAACTCAATCAGCGGGAGAATGCAGAATCGCAAAGGCTGTTGTAGATCTTGCTGGTTTGCAGAAGCGGACAAAGTTGCAATGGCAGGGAGACACTTGGTTCTGCAACATGGTCTGGTAGACTATCCGGTTTTTGTGAGACAGGAAAGAAAAAGAGAGACGGAGTCTCAGTTGTGATCAATTATGCACCCAGGCGCGTCACTCCAGTCCCCTCATGCAACCAACCGCAGAAACGAAACAACAAAGGAGCCAACAGGGCGTCATAACTGGGCACAAGGGGACAATTCTGCAACTTGCCGAAGAAGGGAGACAAATGGAGATTCAGGAGAGACTAGATGTTGTTTTAGAGACTTAGGGAGGCCGGAACGGGCCTCACCCAGCTCCATGCATGACTAGAGACAGGAGACGAAAGGGAAAATGGAGGAACAAGCTTGTGACAACAAGCACTCTCCAGCTCTTCTCGGAGAGAAGAGACACAATTGGGGAGACTGTCCAGGAAGACATGGGTCCCAGTTCCGCAGGAGGGGATGTGGAAGCAAAACGAGAGTACTGACCAGCCAAGCGTCACAAAACGTCAAAAATTTTGCGCCGGCGTGTGGTTCACCATGCGGCTTCTCGAAGACAAGAAGGGAGACAAGAGACGATGCGAAGAGAAGGGCAGACAACAGTCACAATGCTGAGACTAGGACTAGGCTCACAATTCTGCAATGAAGCACATCAAGCGATCTGATGATGCAGCCAATGTGCGAGAAAAAAGGAGCCAAGATGGACAGACTTTCTGGGATGTGCTTCAAAACACAAATTTCTGAAAATCCCCACAATAACTTGCTTGGGGCATAGAGGGCAGAATTGTGAGCAGCACACGGTGAACCGCCGAGCATGTCAGAACAACACGACAGCGACGAACACAAGCAAAATCATCTACAAAGGATCCGATATCAAAACTTGGACTGAGTTTTTCTTGCACGGTCCCGTGCAGCAGAAGGCACACACACCTCCAAGAGCCGAGACAAACAGCATCACCTACGGACGTCCTAGCAGATTGAGACTTGAAAGGTATGATAGGATGATCCTGTGCCAAGCTGCAATCTGAATGGCATTTGGATCCACTCTGGCACTTGCAGAGAACGTAGCAAGGAACATCGCCTTAGAGAGGCACACAGAATCCTGTCCCCTCTCCACCGCTTTGTCCCCATGAAACCTCAGGCGAGGCGCAATCAGCTGACTCCGAAGGCTCTGAAGGTCTGTATCAGCCGGGAGGTTCGCAAACGACATGTTGAAGGACACAGCAGGAACTTCTGAAGAGTTTTGCAAGGGAGTTTGAACTCCTGAGCTAGTCTCACCAGTCCCTCCTGCATCCTGCACTTCAGGCACGCATGCCGATCGTGCCACTGCTCCAGTGTCAAATGTAGTGTTGCCTGCGTCACATTGAACACACGCTTCAGCGTTGCCTGCTTCGTCTTTGTAAGATCCCTTGGCACACTCTGCACAATTGTTGGACGTTGCCACGAAATAGTAGCCAAGATCACATACGCAGGCCGCACTCGAGACCTTAGCTCCAACAGGGCCCAGATCTTGCCCCAGCATAGCTAGCTACTAGCTGGCCAAAGACTAATTCCAACCAGCCGCCGAGCCCCGCTTGAAAGTGGTCTGCCCTGTTGGACAGGCAAGTCTTGTAGCCGTTGCTTGGGGTCCACCAGCACAGTAGTAGCCACGTGTACAGGTGATGCATTGCTTCCCTGACAGGGAACATGAACAAGACTTGCTGAGGATTGCTGCCAACATATGCTGATGCATTGGACACAACAACACCTTCCACCCCCCATCCTGATAACCCCAGAACGTGAGATCAAATTTCTGCAAGTGCATCAAGGGCTTAATACTGATATGCTGCCTTTAACTTCTGCATCCTACCTGCGACCTGCCTGCAGCTGGACCCGTGGCGAAGGTGCCAGCCGGGCAGTTCACTTGCAGATAGCCCGCAGGCGCGCGAAAAGTAGCAGACGTAGTGCACCCTGCGATGAGCGGGCACCAACAGACGGTGTACAGGCCTGGGACCGCTTTTGCTGGAAGCTGGCCCAGCAGAACCTGAAGCCCACTGCTTCCATCCTCAACTGCAAGTGGGTTTTGCAGATCGGGATAGCCAAGGGACCCGACGGAAGTCGAGTTGCCGCATTCACCGACTGCAAACAGTAACTGGTCTCCAGCGATCAAGCCAATCCCAGACAAGAAGACAGTACACACGCTGCCGAGTTGACAAGTCGTGGTCTGCTCAAAGGGACCACTAGCCGTCATCAGCCCAACGGCTGCCTGAAAGCTTGAAGGTGCAGAACAAACCTCTCCCGCAGGCGATGGTCTGCAGAAGCACATGCGAAAAATCCCCGGCGCTGAGAGGAGGATACTGCTGGCTGTGCCCGCAAATGCAAAGTTGGTGCCGTCCGATGTTTCCATAATACCGCTACCTGGGAAGCCTGGCAAAGCTGTGCCTTTTCCGCAGTTGGAAAGGATCATCATCCGATCACCTGCTGCCATGCTGACCCCTCGTATGCCTGTGACCGCACATGCTTGGCCTACGAAGCACTCGCTCTCTTGATTCGTTCGCGGGCCCACCACCCTCAAGCGTCCAGCGAAGACCTGATAGTCCTCAGGGTTGCCACAGGCATCCACCAAGCCGCGGCTTCCTGCACACCAGCACAATGCATAGCCGCCATCATCGGCGTCAACGGACAGGTAGTAGTCCTCTACAGAACGCGAGGTCCCGAAGCCAAGAGCCAAATGAGTCCCATTACTAGTGAAGTTGCCTTTGCCGTCCTGATTGTCTGCGGAAAGCTGCATCTCGGCTGCGAGTCCGCATTGGTCACGTCGAACAGCAATGAAGTCATTTGCCAATAAGCCGAACCCAAGAAACGGTTCCAAGCCGAGACAGTCCCGGCCACGAACGCATTCAAACAAGTTCTGGCTTGGGCCAATGACATGAAGCTGGCCAGCAGAAATCAAAAAATTGCTATTCAAATCTTCGCAAGTAAGGTCACCGATGTTTGCACACCAGCACATATTGTAGTAGCCGCCAAAAGGCGCGAAGTCTTCAGCCTCGTCGCCAAATACATATCGCTTGCCACTGTTGCTGGCAAGGTCTGTGATCCCGCTGTTCGTAACGCTCGGAACTGCCACTTTTGCAGCACTGCAGTCTGCAACTGCCAGCCCCATGCGGTGTCCATTTTGAAAATACGATCCTGAAATCTCATCAACAGCGCAAGCACGGCCAGATATACACTGCCTCAGCTGATCTGGATCTGGACGAACACAGAAGCTCTCGTTCTGAGCGCCGCTCTGCCTTGTGGTTGACCCGTCAACACATGAAATGCAAGTGCTTGGCTTGGAGGCTCCTTCCTCGTCACTCCACTTGCCCGTCTCACACATCACGCAGGCTGCAAGCGAGGTCGCCTCCTCAGCTTCAGAGTAGCGCCCTGCTGGGCAAGGCTCGCAAGTGCCCATGCCAGCAGTGGAGAACGTCCCCTCATCACAGGAGTCACACTCATCCGCACCCTCTTCTGAAAACTGTCCCGCCGGGCATTCCATGCAAGGCAAATTGCCGACCTCTTCCTTGAATCTACCAGGCACACACGCCTCACAAGCTCCCACGCCTGTGCCAGTGAAACCCTTCTCACACAAGCAGTCAGACTGACTCTTGGCAGTGTCATCCGCAGTGGTCTGTGCTTGCTCGCAGCTCAGCTTGAGCCCTCCTCCAGGACAGTAGGAGCCCTCGCCGCATGAGGCGCACGCTGCAGGATCTTCGGGATCTGTGTTAACGAAGCCAGCGGAACAGGTGCAAGCAGCGTATGAAATGGCACCTTGCTGGAGAGTAGTCAATGGGATGTTCCCAGATGGGCATGCCACGCATATGGAATCGCCAACCGAAGATTTGTACGTGCCCACAGGACAGCTGGTGCAACCATCAAGCAAGCCTGTGCTACCAGTTACTGCAGGCTGCATTCCATGCGGGCACTGACAATCAGCAATACCGGTGACATACTCACCTGCTTGCAACCCCAAACCTTCTGGACACTGCAAGGTCATGGCCTGAACAGGTGTCTCAAAGTCAGGAACTGCTGATGCCAGCGTTGTGCCCGCCATCTCCGAGGCTATCCATACGCCAAAAGACAATGACTCAAATCTGCCTCGCATAGTTTCAGCAAGCTCCGGGTCGGGGCTCCAAGCCTGACAATCAATGTACCAGCTTTCATTCCACCGAACCCCAATGCTGAAGGAGGCACGTGTGCTGTCAGTCAGCTCAAGACGATCGGACAAGGCTTCCAATATGCTCGAAACGAAGTCGCTAGACGAAGCATCCAGCACGCGAAGTGAGCCTGAGAAGGTGAACAAAGCTGCCTCACGGGCAGCAAAGCTTTTTGTGCTGTTGCTGAAGTTGTTTGCCAAGAGTAGCAAATCCACACATTCAAAACCTTCCGGAGCAGGGTCAACGTCCAGTGTGTTCCCTGCACAATAGCACTCCGTAAGACTAGCTGCACCCGTAGAGGATGTAGTCCCAGGAGGGCACTCTCCTGGACACCCTGTCAGCCGGCCTGTGGCGTCCTGAAAGGCCCCAGATGGACAAGCAAAGCAAGCGCTCAGCTGCACGTTCCAAAAATATCCACGACGGCAGACGCATTCCTCAAGGCCTCTGGCTGCAGCAAAGCTCGTCATTCCAACTGGACATTTCTGCATTTGTGCTTGGTTTCCTCCAGAGCAGTAATAGCCGGGCAGGCATTCTTGGCATGTTACCGTTGCACCATGCAGCTCATACCAGCCTGGTGGACATTCTACGGAAAGCGCGAGGGCGGTCACACGAAAAGAGGATGTGTTTGCGCATGCAGGCCCACCTGCGCACCAGCACACCCACAGCTGCTCAGGCGTGCTGTTCTGGAGGGGCAAAAAACCAAGATCATAGTAGGCATCGCCTGTCGTCTCATTGTAAGATATTGCAACCGGCTGCAGCTGTGGGAAATTGATGGTGCCCACTTGATTGTCACAGCTCCCTGAAGGCAACAATAAATTGGCAGACGAAAGACTTATGCCCCGCAAGCCTGTCACGACACATTGAGATCCGAAGGCACAAAAAAGTTCCTGGCCAGAATAAGGTCCTACCGAGCGAAACAAGCCCACAGTCACGTTGAAGTCCACCCCTTTGTTGCAATACAAAGACAGGGCAGGTGCTGGGCGACACCAGCACAAGCGGAAAATGCCTGGAGATGACATCAAGTAAAGGTCATTGCCATCCGACACATTTGTGCTGTCAAATTCATAATATGTGCCCTCCGAGGTGTCCGCATAGCCAGGAGAAGGCAGACCATCAATGAAATCGCCGAAACCACACTGCTCCAGAGCAGTAATTCGATCACCTTCCAACAACCCTGTGGTGTACCCCACCAACTCAATGGCACATACCTGGCCCTGATTGCACTCAGCTTCTTCGCCAGTAGGCGGACCGTGGAGCTCAAGAGTCCCTATGCGGGCTTCGACATAATCGGTCACATTGACTGACACTGTCCCTCTCATGCTGCTGCAAGTCGATCCCACGGACGAACACCAGCACAAAGCATATTCTCCAGCTCCATCGTGGATCGCCTGTGGCGAGGTGAAGTAGAGAACCGTCTCGTTAGTTGTGCTGTTCTGCTCTGCCCTGACCTTCATCTCGCTGCCAAAAAACTGTGCTTGATCCAGGGTGCAGTCCATGCGACGCTGAATGAGGTCCTGGTCCGTCAGTCCAACGCCAAAAACTGGACCTGGCTCAAGGCATATGTGGCCTTTTGTACAGACAAATAGTTGATTTGGATATGGACCAAGCACTTTAATAATGCCCACATCCGTTGCGAACTTGTCTAGGCTGTCACAGGTCTCGCCGCCTACACCACCACACCAGCATAGAACGTACTGCCCAGGCGACGCGTCAAGCTGAGAAGACCAGGAATAGTTTGTGCTGCCCTGGGACGAAATCGAATCAGTCCCGAAGCCAGACACTGCCGAGGTATCCAGTGATGCCTCCGGCTCTTCCTCTTGCATCCTGCGCGGAAGGCCTCCGTAATCATAGTCATCGCCGTAGCCAGGGTCTGGACCACTGGGACCGGTGCCTGGCCCAGTACCACCGCCAGTGTCTGGTCCACTGCCTGGCCCACTGCCATCGGTGGTGGTGGCGGTGGTCGTGGTGGTGGTGGTGCCAGGCCCAGTGTCCGGCCCATCGCTAGGGCCAGGCCCAGTGTCTGGCCCATCGCCAGGATCTGGCCCGGGGCCATGACCGGTATGGTTGTCATCGCCTGGTGGCCCACCACCATCACCGGGAGAGCTATTGCTTGAATAGTTGCTGTCGGTTTCGTTGTCTGGACCTCCGCTGCCACCATGATGTGGGCTGCCACCTCCATCACCAATACCTGGCACGTGGCCACCACCAGTATGGTTGCTGCCGTTTCCATCATCTGGCCCACCACCATTACCAGGAGAGCCAGTGCCATTCACATCGCTTGAACTGTTATCATAGTCTGCATTGTTGGGGCCTCCACTGCTACCAGTACCGTCATCTCCGGACGATCCATAACCAAAAGCGCCTGTTCCAGTTCCTCCATCTGTGCCAGAATCGTCCGTTCCAGTACCTGATCCAAACGATCCAGTACCTGATCCAAAACCTCCTGTGAAGTCGCCTGTTCCGAAATCGCCAGTACCAGTTGTACCTGATCCAAATGATCCAGTGC